GTATCTATCTATCTATCTATCTATCTATCTTATCTTACCTTATCTTATCTTATTTATCTATCTATCTATATGGTGCGGCGTCCGCCAGCCCCCCCTCCCCCCCCCAATGGGGATGGGTGTTCAGTCTTGCTTCTTATGGTACACCCCCCCCTGTCGCCTGTGTTGGTCGGGTGTGTGCATGCATGTATGTATGTATGTATGTATGTATGCATGTATGTATGTATGTATGTATGTACGAACGTATGTATGTATGTATCTATGTATGTATGTATGTATCTATGTATGTATGTATCTATCTATCTATCTATCTATCTATGTATCTATGTATCTATCTATCTATCTATCTATCTATGTATCTATCTATCTATGTATCTATCTATCTATCTATCTATGTATGTATGTAGGTAGGTATGTATGTATGTATGTGTGTGTGTGTATGTGTGTATGTAATGGTTGTTTGTATGTGTGTATGTAATGTGTGTTTGTTTGTTTGTTTGCTTGCTTGCTTGCTTGCTTGCTTGTTTGTTTGTTTGTTTGCTTCCTTGCTTGGTTGTTTGTTTGTTTGTTCGCTTGCTTGCTTGGTTGTTTGTATGTGTATGTGTGTATGTGTGTATGTTTGTGTGTTTGTCTGTATGTCTGTATGTCTGTATGTCTGTATGTCTGTATGTCTGTATGTATGTATGTATGTATGCATGTATGTATGTATGTATGTATATAACAGTCACCCACCCCCTGTGGTGTGGTGGGGGCGTGGTACTGTCCCCCTCCCCCTCTGTGGTGCGGTGGGGGTGTGGTACTGTCGGGGGGGTTGGAACGCTGGATCATATATATATATATATATGTGTGTGTGTAAATATGTATATATTTAAACATATGTATGTGTATATATATATATGTATGTATACATGTATATATATATATATTAATAGATGTCTATACATATATACAAATATCTCTGTATATGCATATGTATATGTATATGTATATGTATATGTATGTATACATATATATATAAATATATATATACATTTATTTATTTAAATGTATTCATATAAATGTAGTAAATAGGGGTGCTACCTGGGGACCCATCCCTTGGGGGGTGGGAACACGGGACACGGGACCATATATATAGCAACCCCAAAATATAGATAGAAAGATGGGACACCTTGAAATAGGACGTTAATATCATCTAATTAACATTCTGGCAATACTATTCTTTCTTTTTTTGGGTGGCTACGTAGACATACATCATATAACGGATCATGGAGTATTTGAAGAATCAAAGGTTGACATTGACATGAAGCAATAAAATTCGCTGTTTGTTGCTGGGGAATTTTCCGCGGTAGAAATCGTTCAACCCATCGGCCATTTCGCAAGGGCCCAAGAAAAAATACTATGGATGTATACAAGAAATACTGTATATGCAACACCATCTAGTTGGATTGTAACCATTCACCAGCCAAAAATCTTTGCTGCTTGCAGAATCATCATTCAAACCAGCAATGAAGTCATCAGGTCCGAAACCTCCGAAACCACGGCCCGTGTTACCTCAATACCTTGATCTACTAAAGAATACACGGCCGGGTTTGTCTGGAGATAGGCTAGCCCAAGATTGATGCTTCCTCACTGATTCATGATTTTCCAATATGTTTTCCCATATTTCATTCACCACTTTGGCCACTTTGGGAGATTCCTCGTTTTCAGACACACCAAAATATAAGATCAACCTGCGTAACTACAGTATGTTCCATTAAAACTGAACACCGTTAAACACCATTAAACATCATTAAACACCATCAAACATCATTAACCCCGGCCACAGAAACCATCACCGAGCCGAACCCTTCGCCCAACCTGTAAGTCACTAGTGTGGCTCGTAAAGGGGCCACGGAAACCTTGGTTTCAAACTGTTGGGATTCCCAATGTCTTTCCAACATATATGGCTTATATATATATATCAATTCTATCACTATATATTTGTATGGGTTATTATATGGGTAACATATATAATTATATGTGGTTTTAATGTATGTATATATATATATATATTCATTTATTTACTTAATATACATATATTCTATCACAAGTATATGAATATAAACCGACACTAATGTGTATACAGAGAGAATATTGAGCGTGTACATATGTACATACACTAAATGTTCTATCCAAGTACATGTAATTACATATGTAGTTTTTGTTTTTAATAGCATTTATCTATATAATTATATATATATATGTGTGTGTGTGTTTAAGCTATCATTTGGTTGTATACCCCCAACATATGGTTTACAGGTGTTTAAAACCAATCTGCATACGGGAAAATCATGTGCGCTGGGGTCAAACCATGGTATAATTGGGTTTTTCATCCAAATTTCTGGGATATGGTGATCCCACCATCATGAATCATCATGAATCATGAATGCAATTCCTGAAAATTCGCATCTGAATCCCTATGATATATCCCCTTTCATGAGGGAATGACCATCTCCTTTGGGAAAAAGGCACATGCTTTGGACCATGGCATGAAGACACCCTGACCTTGGATCTGATTGGTTAAGAGTTTAAGAAAAACGACATGTTCAAAAACTGAGAAACTTAAGTTACTGTATACTAAGGTTCCCCAAATGATGAATTCCCCAAATGATGGCTTATGGTTCAAGTGGTTGCTATGACTTATTTCCACCCGAGACCTCCGAAGCTAGGCGATCTTGGGCCGAGAGTCTGCTACTTGGGTTTGACATCACGGGTTGCTGTGGCCTGGAGTTTTTCCGAGTGTTGGCCAGCAAAGAGACCTGGAACGGGTCACCATTTGGTCACCATTTGAGGCAGATTTGATGGGTTCCTGAGGCAGTAACAACTCATAAAATGTCGGGGTATATAGTAAATGTACATGTATGGAATGATGTACACATATATGTATACACTTGTGTGTATGTAGTTATACACATAGAGAGAGAGAGAGATACTTGGATGCAATGTCTATATTATTTGGTATACCTCCCCTGACCAACCACATATCGCCAGGCGCCGGAGGCTTTGTTTACATTAGGCAATGGAAAATCCACCATTTATGGAGGATGTTCCGATGTTCCTATTAAAACACAATTATGAAGGGTTTTGAGTTGCTATGTTTGATTTCCAGAGGGTATGAATATAAATTTAAATATACATATAAATAATTATATATACATTGTTATATTTATATATTATTATATATATACTATTATATATATTATTATATATTTCATTATATTTATATTATTATATATTTCATTATATATATTAAATGTATTTTTATATATTTCATTATATATTATTATATTTATTATTATATATTTCATTATATATATATTATTATAGTTATTATGATATATTTCATTATATATATTACTATATATATTATTATATATTATTATCTATATTATTATCTATATTATTATATATATTATTATATGTATTATTATATTATATATATACATATATATATATGTACACACACACATATATATATATATACGCAAAACCCCTGTCTCGCTGTCGGCTGAAACTGCTTAAAACTGGGGGGTTGTCATGATTTCTGGAAATTTCCAATGGAAAAATGTTGCAAAACGCCCTGCCCACACATCAGCATCTTTCTTTTCCTGTGCTTCACGACATCCAGTCTAGCTTTGCTACCTTGAAGGCGTCTGATGGAGATAGTTTTACTATCCCTGCCAAGCAATCTTTTCTATAGACAGTCATTGCGTTCAGGATTGCTTTCAGTCCTGGCTGCCGATGCAAGCTTGCGGCGGCAAGCACCTGAATATTTTTCAGGTTTTTTTTGGAAGTGTTTCTCCCAAGAGCGTTCTGTCGCCGCCGCCGCAGTGTTTGTTTGATGCAACCAAGTCTGTTTTCAGCTTTCTGATCACCAGCAGGTGCTTTGAAGAGCTTCGGGCTTTCCTTCACTGGTTTTCTGCCTTTGGCAAACGTTTTGAGAGTTGTCTTTTCGGCCGAAGTCACAGAGCTCTTTGAAATTTTGGCAAGAAGAGTAATTTTTTTTGAGGTGGCTGACCCCTTTCAGGCTGCACATCTGAAGGTCTTTCGCGCTCGATTGGAAGGCGGTAGAGCCATCTGCAGCCAAAACGCACCCTTTCTTCAAATGTGACTTCAGAATTGGTTTCACTTCCTTTTTGCTTTCGGGGCCACCGCCCCCACGTTTTCCAGTCGTTGACTTTGCTTTCAAAGGAAACACAGTCCAAGCTTTATTTTTGCGACTTTGTAGAACCAAGGTTCGACCATCAAATTTGCGAGTAAGACCTTTCTTGTGAGCACCAAATTGAGCAGTATCAGCTTCGACTATGTCACGAGAGTAGCTTGTTGACCGGGACAGTTTGATTTCCTCGAAGCGGCCATTGACCGGACGTGGATGGATGTCAGACCATGTAGATCCTCCCGCAAGATCGTCTCAACATCAGAGCGGGATGCATACGCACGAACAGTATGCGGCATCAACAATACCTAGACAGGGGTCCAATCCCCTGAAGAAACCATACGCATTCCCATTGTTTCCTACTTTTCAAGGACACACATCCAAAACATGAGTGCGTACTTAAATCAACCCAAGTTCGACCAGGACATCTGCAAAATCGTCTGCAGACCATCGATAATCATGTCCACAATCATCGGGACATGCCAGCAGTAGCAAAAAAAAAAGTGACGCTGAAGCGGACAGCCACTTCGTCAGCGTCCATATGGATATGGAAGTCTCGAGGTAGAGAAATGTGCTGCATGTGCACCGGATGTCTTTCCGGTAACATGCCGTTTGTTTCTTTAACATGACAACAGAGTCATTCATAAAATGACATTCACAAATCCATTCAAACAAGAGTGTTCCAAATTGACGTATGTGTGATGTGTCCTCGAGTTCATCACTCATTAATTCAACCAGATGGATAACGTTCATCGATATATTGTTACATCGGCTTTACCTGTCAGTCCACCATACTACATGCTATGAAACAAAAAACATGCGAAAAAATAAACCCATTGCAACATATCCTGAGTTGGTTGAACATGACAGAAGTTTGGTAACGAAAGCCAAGAGCGTAACATCACTGACGTGTTAACACAAACCGAAGAAAGTCAAGAGCGTAACATCACTGACGTGTGAACATAAACAGAAGAAAGCCAAGAGCGTAACATCACTGACGTCTTAACACAAACCGAAGAAAGTCAAGAGCGTAACATCATTGGACGGGAACGAAAGAACGTTATTATGCCCCCACCCCCAAATAAAGGAAGCGGCGTCACAACCATAAGATCTAGAGAAGAAAGGCAAGAGCGTATCCTCATTGACGTATTCACATCTAGAGACGAAGTCAACAAAGTAGCATCATCGACGTAATAAAATAAAGAGAAGAAAGTCAAGAACGTAACATCATTGGACGGGAACGAAAGGACGTTATTATGCCCCCACCTCCACCCCCCCAAATGAAGGAAGCGGCGCCACAACCAGCTTAAAAAAAACACACAAAAGAAAGACCATCCAGAACGTGCCAAAAACGCAAAAAGTCGCGCGCCTGCCAGCGAAAATGCAATACGATTGTTTTGCAAGGTCATAAAACACTGCGCCTGCCACGCAAAATGGACGTGCTCAAATTCATTGGTGGCCGCAGGTCAAAATGCATTTTTTTGAACTTAAAAATAGAAACACCGCGTTTCGCCTGCACGAGGAGCAAAATTCGAACCGGACGAATGACAATTTTGGCAACGGCGAGACAGGGGTTTTGCGGGTATATGTATATATATATA